ATGTTGACCGCTTTCAATTAACAACCTTGATTTTCTCTTCTATTGTCTGCTCAGCCCTCCCAGTCATCTTTTGTTCAGAGCTTTCAAGACATTCATCCTACTTGGAAGATCTATATCAGTGCAAGTTGTTACTGTTGATCTGTCTTCTCAGCTGCGGAGTGAATGTTAACAAGTCCTTTTAGTAGATGATAGCTGCATGACTATTTCTATTACATAATGATGTAATAATAGTAATAAACCTTGCATTTGATATAGCGCATTATCATATCATCACAGCATCTCAAAGCACTTCACAGAATTTACTTATTTTTAGACAAATGAGGCAGCCAATTTGAGTACAGCCCTGCCCCACAAACAGCCAAGATGTGAATGACTCATTTTATTTCAGGAATTGTTGGCCACATCAGTGAGAGAAGATGCCTTCTCTTTTTGAACAGTTCTTTAGCATCCGCCTGAACAGGCAGACTTGATCAATTAAACATCTTGTTCAAGGGATGGCACCTCTGACAATGCAGGGCACCCCCAGCACTGTATTGTATCATCAGCCTAGACTGTGAACTTAAAGTCATAATCGATTTGATGGGGGGAAAATAAATAATATGATAATATTCCTTGCATTTGATACAGCGCCTTATCATGTCTTCGAGACGTCTCAAAATGCTCCAGAGAATGTACTGTGTAAACTGAATTGACTATAAATTTTGTGGACGAGAAGCGTCAGCCAATTGCGCTCAGCAGTGTCCCATAAACAGTTGTAGATTGAGTGACCAATTATTACATATTTTTTGAAGGAATGATTAACCCCAGAAAAGCAATCCACCAATCGACCAACAATTGGGTTCCTACTTACTGCGAGGTAAACAGAGGCATGTGGAGTAACAAACCTTACTCTCGCTTGCCAGTCGAGTTCTCTAACCTCTGAGCTACAGGACTTCACAAAGTTAATTAATGTATACCAAGAATAAAAAGCACCAACGTCTGACTTCCCGTCCCTGTTAAAGCAAGCTAAAATTAGAAACCTGATTTCTGTAATATGTCAAATTTAATGGATAAGAAGTAGCAAAATATCAAGCCGGCACAAACCCCCTGATAATGCTCCCCTGCTTAAGCAACCTAGAATTAGGAACCTTGCTGAGGTCAGAACCACAATGTCAGTGTGTGGCTTTTGTGTCTGATGCAAACTGGAGAGTTAATTTATACTGTCATCCACAGAACTGAACTCTTTCGGAGCTGAGAGCTTAAATGAATCTGACCCAACCAGTTTTCGTTACACTAATCACAATTTTCTACTTTGATTCACTGAATTCATATGAATTTAGATGAGTTTAGTTGATCTAGAGAAAGCCATTGAGAAGGGTTGTCATCTGAAATGAAGTGCAGCTCCATATTATGAGTTCAACTGCCCTGGCATCTAATTGTCCTTGAACTAAGGTATCGTCATTTCTTAGTCACAATGCTGACAAAGTTATGGGTTTGTCTTGCATAATAGGAAGATAGATTTGAAACCTCTGATGACATATGTCTGATGACAGCAGTTCACTGTTCTTTCTCATTTGTTACTAAAGGAAACGGCAGTAGACTTTATCTTAGCCAACAAAGCAAAGTCAGATGGTTTATCAAGAATTTAATCAGCTAAGACTTCCTTATTTACCAAAATATTGTCAACTCTAACTACTGCATTGGCAGCAGTGATCTACTATGTTTGCAATGATAATTTGTATATATTATTTAGCACTTAGCCTGGGAACACTTGAACTGTGCTTTAATCTCTCTAATCTTAGATGCTGCTCTTATATTGCGGGAAGTGTTTAAGAGTTATTCCTGTTTTCAGAGCAGTGCGAGTTCACAACATTGAATGACGCTGCTTTTTTTACATCCGTGATGAAAATATGGAACAAACTGTTTATTGGGACTACTCCCTATCTTTTTACTAACTTGGGTACTGACTCCCTTCTGAACTTGATTCTACATCTCCTTCTTCTAGATGGTTTGACATATTATTTAGATTCAATCTGTATGCACTTCTAAGAAACTTGATTAGTTTGATAAGATCCACCCTGAACCTTCTTTGTGTGCAAGTTCTTGTTGTTGTGTGAACATTCCCAGCTTTCATGGGCTCTTAGAATTCAGGTGATTAATTCCAGCTAAATCAGATTCCCATTTGCTATAATTACCCCCTCCAACATCAAGATGTCCTTAGTGTAACATGGTGACCAGACCGGTACTCAGGATAGAGGCTGACCAGCATCCTGCCCAAATTCAGCATTAATCCCTATGCCTCTCCTTCACCTGCACATACTGTGGAGTCGCATAGCTCAGTGGTTAGAGCACTCAACAACAACAACAACAACAAGCAAGCGAGAGATCTGGGTTCGATTACTGGAAGAATGAAATGTTGGACAAGTTTCCTTATTCCACACGCCTCTGTTTACCTAGCAGTAAGTAGGAACCTGGTTGTTAGTTGATTGGCGGATCGCTTTTCTGCGGGGTAATAATTTTTAAAAAATTGGTCACTTCAATCCACAACTGTTTGTGTGTCGCTGATGTGCACAATTGGCTGCCACGTTTCGCCCACAAAATATACAGTCAATTCACTTTACAGTATATTCCGTGAAGCACTTTGAGACGTCTCAAAGACATGATAAGGCGCTATATCAAAAGCAAGTATTAATATTTAAGATCCCATTTGCTTGGCTTTTTTTTACTATTCTGCACACTGATGGTTTCAGCCGATCTGTCCACTGTTGTCCCCCAAATCCAGCAATCTGTCAGGGCCTCAGATCCTATCTGAATCCTTGCCATAACAACTGGCTGATCACTATTCCGGGGTTAATAATCCCTTCAAAACAAAAATAAATTAAAAAAAATAATTTGTTCACTCAATCCACAAATGTTTGGTGATGTTGCCATATAAAGAAAATCTAATGTAACCTTAGAAACCATGCAAATAACACTTTCTTTGTGAAGCTTCAGTAATTTGACCCAAAAGTTGATTTTAATTAATTAAATTCCACACAAACATTTCTATAGTAAAATCAAAACAAGGGCATGATATGATACTAGGGATGTTGAATGGTAAAAAAACCACACATAAAAGCTATGGCACCAGCACCATACAAAGAAATCACTGAACACTTTACCTTGTGTGTTTGTCAGGAACCGGACTATACATGACCTTACATCTGTACTGCCCGGGTTGAATTGAACCATACCTCATCATAACAATAGTAAGAAGAATGATAATGCTTGCATTTGATATAGAGCCTTATCACGTCATCAAGATGTCTCAAATTGCTTCACAGAATATATTGTAGAGTGACTTCTGTACTTTATGGACAAAAACGCAGCAGCCAAATATGCAAAGCAGTGTCCCACAAACTGTTGTGGATTGAGAATACCTACTTCAATTAACAGGCATCTTCTTAGCACAAATTATAATGGCTAAAACTGAATAACTGTCATAACAATGCATAAATAATGTGCATGGCTGTTTTGGGAACACTGCTTTATGTAAATTGGCTGCAGTGTCTACCTACAAAATACTCAATCCTTATATTTTACATTTACCTCTGTGCAGCTCTTTGAGACGCTTTAACGTTATATAGTCGAAGCTATATGACATGCAAGGATTCTTCTTTCATCCTCTCTACTAACATCCTCTCTGTGTTGATATTCAGGCTCTCTGCACTGTCTCAAACTAATTTTTTTCCTCAAGAACACAATATACATAGTCACTATACTTTTCAGCAAGACCCCATGAAGCACTTTGAGATTTTTTGATGACATGTTAAAGCAGTATATCAAATGCAAGTTATTATTATGATGATACCATCATGGACTCTATCATCAATTTAACCTGATTTATTGGTTTAACGGCTGCAGTATCTGACACGACATGTCTGCAGTGTTCCTTATGATCCCTGAACTCCAGTGGCAATAAATTTCATAGGACTGCATGATTAGGGCAAGACTTTTATTACTATTATTAATAATGATATTAATATCATTACCAAATATGGATCATTATCAAAGCATTATATGAATTTCAGTTTCATCATTAATAAATCAGTTTACACCAGTGGTGAGAGATAGAGCGAGAGAGAAAAAATATATATATATATCGACGAAATAACATTTCCAAATAATGTGAGACTGTCAAAGTCAGATGTTACACTTTGCAAACTGGTTGCCTCCAACCCAAAGTGTTCGGAATGAAAGGGAATCGTACGCCTTAACTCACCCGGAATTGACACACAAATCCCACAATTAGACACACACGTATCTCAGACCAGTCACTCAATTTGCCATTGCTTTACCAATCATTTATAAGGTAATAAAGCCTCTGATGGTCACACAGCTCTGTTTTTGTGAGTGTGTGTGTGTGAGAAAGAGAGCGAGAGACAAAAATATGGTACTCTCTGTGTGAGAGAGAAAGAGAGAGGGAAAGGAAGTAAAGTGGTGCTGTAGGTGTGAGAGAGAGAAAGAGAGGGAAAGGAAGTAAAGTGGTGCTGTGGATGAGAGAGAGAGAGAGAGAGGGAAAGGGAAGTAAAGTGGTGCTGTAGGTGTGAGAGAGAGAGAAAGAGAGAGGGAAAGGGAAGTAAAGTGGTGCTGTAGGTGTGAGAGAGAGAGAAAGAGAGAGGGAAAGGGAAGTAAAGTGGTGCTGTAGGTGTGAGAGAGAGAGAGAAAAAGGAAGTAAAGTGGTGCTGTGGATGAGAGAGAGAGAAAGAGAGAGGGAAAGGGAAGTAAAGTGGTGCTATAGGTGTGAGAGAGAGAGAAAGAGAGAGGGAAAGGGAAGTAAAGTGGTGCTGTAGGTGTGAGAGAGAGAGAGAGAGAAAGAGAGAGGGAAAGGGAAGTAAAGTGGTGCTGTAGGTGTGAGAGAGAGAGAGAAAGAGAGAGGGAAAGGGAAGTAAAGTGGTGCTGTAGGTGTGAGAGAGAGAGAGAAAGGGAAGTAAAGTGGTGCTGTAGGTGTGAGAGAGAGAGAGAGAGACAGAGAAAGACAGAGAGGGGAAAGGAGGGGAGTGGGGGTCGAAAGAGAGGCAAATACTGATTAAAACGTCTGTTTCCTGCGGTGGCAGACGATGTTCCTGAAAGCGCGCCTGAAGTCCTGGTTGAAGATGGTGTAGATGACGGGGTTGAGAGAGCTGTTGCAGTAGCCGATCCAGAAGAAGAACTTGAACAGCGGCTCGGGGGCCTCGCAGGCCTCGCGGCACAGCCCGTACAGGCTGTAGCTGAAGAAGAAGGGGAACCAGCACAGCACGAAGGCTCCCATGACCACAGCCAACACGAAGGTGAACCTCTTCTCCCGCGCCTGGGACGCCTTACTCCTTGAGGCGCGGCTGCTCCTCCGCTTCCTCCGCGTGGAAAACCTGAAGGATTTGTTGCTGAAGTGGGACCGCCGACTGGACCTCTTGGGACGCGAGTCTCTTTTGCAAACCTCCTCCTCCTCCTCCTCCTCCTCCCCCTTCTGGGAAGCGGAGGCCCTTCCGCTTTCCCCACTGCCCCCTCCGCCTCCCGCTGCCCGGTCCTTCTCCCGTCCCTTGCCCTCCGAGGTGGAGCTCTCCTCCGGCTCCGCGTCCTCCGGCTCGGTCCCGGCCACTTCCCGGCCACCGGGGCAATGGCCGTTCTCCTTCTCCTCGTCGGCTCCGATGGCCGCTCCTCTGCCCGCCCCATCCTCGTGCTGGGGGGAGCCCTCGGCTCCTCCCCGCCTCACCGACGAGCTCCTGGTCCTGCGCTTGGCCACCTGGTAGATCCTCACGTACACCAAGATCATGATGAGACACGGGGCGAAAAAGGAGCCCACGCAGGAGAGCAGGATGTACCAGGTCTCGTCGTTGAGTTTGCAGACGGAGTGCGTCTCACCCTCAGGCTCCCTCTCCATGGAGATCAGAGGGGGGAAGGAGATCATGGCTGAGATGAGCCACACCACCACTAGGACGCACTTAATCCTCTTGGGTGTCCGTTTGAGATTGTACTCCACCGCTTTGGTCACGGACCAGTACCTGTCGAGGCTTATGGCGCAGAGGTGCACGATAGACGAAGTGCAGAAGAGGACGTCCAAAGCCAAATAGATGTCACACCACACGGTCCCAAAATACCAGTAGCCCATGAGCTCGTTGGCCAGAGAGAAGGGCATGACCAGGGTCGCCACGAGGATGTCAGCAATGGCCAAGGAGACCAGGAAGAGGTTCTGAGGTGGACTCAGGGCTCTGCTGGTCAGCACGGCGATGATCACCAGGATATTCCCAACGATGGTGAAGAGGATGAGGGCGGCCACCAGCACTCCCAGACCCAAGACGGCCCCCAGTGAGAACTGGCCAACGCCAGGGTGGGCATCCGGGGAGAGGTGAGACACGTTGATCCCTGTGCCGTTGAGGGGCAGCGCCATCCTGCACGACGCTAAGCTGACGCGTAACGATGGATATTGCTTGGTCCTGTCCGAGATAGGAAAGGGGGTGAGTGTTTGGGGGGTGGGGGGGGGGGGGGGGTGGGGGGAAGGGGTACTGGTCCAAGAAATTGTTACTCAAGTCGTCCACCTTCCTGCCTGGGGTGGGAATGGGGTGGGGGGTTGGGAAGTGTGTGTGTGTGTGTGTGTGTGTGTATGTGGGGGAAGGAAAACCATCAAGAAATTGTTCCTCAGTTTTGCCTTCACCTCCTGCTCAGGGGCTCCTCACTCTTCAACTTGCTCTTCCTCCCCCGAACGATGTGCTCCATCCTTTGAAGGTGACATTACAGCCAGTCTTTCCGTGTCTTCACGGTGAGCCTCGGTCCCCCCCTCCTCTCCTCCCCTCCTCCCCTCCACCCCCTCCTCCCTCCACGCCCCCACTCCCCCACCTCCCGCCGGAGCCGCTCGTGTTGCTCCTCTCCTCCGACAACCAGCGGACAACGAGCCTCATCTGAACGAGCGACCAACAGCGTGAGGCTGGACCTGGTCTAAGCCATGGCCGGGGCCGGGCGGGCGGGGGCTGTCACTGAGGCTCCGGGAGCGGATCGCTCCACATCGTGGCGCCCGGAGCATCACTGGGGGCGCATTGCTGTGGCCGCTCACCACCGCACACCGCGGAGCGGCCAAAGGCGGACTTCCCTCCAACCTCCAAACTCTCTGGGATCGGCTGCCTCCAACCTCTGATCCCCAGTCCCTGGGCTCCGACTCTCCGCGCTCCAGGACTACAATATGATCTCCAAAGCTATGAATTCTAGCTTCTTGTTTTCCAGCGCTGTGATCTCCCAACTCCCAACTCCCTGCCTCCCAGCTCCCTGCCTCCCAACTCCCAACTCCCTGCCTCCCAACTCCCTGCCTCCCAACTCCCAGCCTCCCAACTCCCAGCCTCCCAACTCCCTGCCTCCCAGCTCCCTGCCTCCCAACTCCCTGCCTCCCAACTCCCAGCCTCCCAACTCCCTGCCTCCCAGCTCCCTGCCTCCCAACTCCCTGCCTCCCTACTCACTCACTCCCAGTCTCCCTGCTCCCAGTCTCCCAACTCACTCACTCCCAGTCTCCCTGCTCCCAGTCTCCCAGTCTCCCTGCTCCCAGTCTCCCTGTCTCCCTGCTCCCAGTCTCCCTGCTCCCAGTCTCCCAGTCTCCCTGCTCCCAGTCTCCCTGCCTCCCAGTCTCCCTGCTCCCAGTCTCCCAGCTCCCAGTCTCCCTGCTCCCAGTCTCCCTGCCCCCAGTCTCCCTGCTCCCAGTCTCCCTGCTCCCAGTCTCCCTGCTCCCAGTCTCCCTGCTCCCTGCCCCCAGTCTCCCTGCTCCCAGTCTCCCAGTCTCCCTGCTCCCAGTCTCCCTGCTCCCAGTCTCCCTGCTCCCTGCTCCCAGTCTCCCTGCTCCCAGTCTCCCTGCTCCCAGTCTCCCTGCCCAGCAGTTGCAGTGTCTGAGCTGCCAGTGTTGAGGACCCTCGGGTGCCAGTCGCTGGATGTCATCACAAGGCTGAGCGAGCGGGGCCAGCGGCCACGCCCCCCTGCGGCGCCATTGGTGCGGGGCGCCAAACGCCTGGCCAATCAGGGGGAGCCCACCCCTGTGATTGGCCGCCGGGGGGAGGTGGGCGGGGCCTGGCCGGGGGGCGGGGCCTGGCGGGGGAGCGGCCGAGCAGCGCGTCCCGGGAGCCACATGTGCAGCGGCACCTGAGGCGGTGATGGTCAGAGAGCAGTGCGTCTCCTCTCTCTCCCTTTGCCCTCACGCTGCAGTGCTTCTTTTTGTCAGTGTTTTGGTTTTGACAGAGGAAAGTTAACAGAAACCGAGGGAATTCATTCTGCAGCCTCGCGGTGCCCAGTTTACCATTATATTAAAAAAAAATTGTTATTCATCTTTTGGGTTTTATTTACCCTTTTTGCTTTTTTTTTAACAGAGATTATTTTTATTTCTTTTTCGAATGTATCTTTGATTTTTTTTCGATTGACCTGTGGTTTGTGTGACAGGTCTGTGGTGTGAACATCTTTTGGTCCTGATGGGTATGTGCTGAGTCCACTGGAGGGCAGCTGCTGGTTGGAAGTTGCTGAGAGCTTAATTGTGGTACCCAGAGGATGCAGCAGAGCAAGTTGGAAAGCAATGCTTTTTTTTTGCTCACTTTCCTCGCCCTGCCTTTGTAAAACAACCTTAAGATACACTAGACGCGTTAGCTCTGTGTCCTTAGCTTCTGAATCAGCCTCTCGTGTTTCTCAATTAGGTTTCGGATGGATGGAGAGTAAGGAAAGCCAAAGCGCTCGGGTACAGCGGAAGCTCTCTGTCTCAACAGATCGCTCTTTTCAAGCAAAACCATCGCTAGTGGGAATTAATAGCAATTTAACTATTCAGACAGAAAAAACACTGGGAGTTTTTCGTTATCAATAGATACATAGTAAACAGTTCAATTAAAATGATATACTTTTGTAGGCATAATAACTTTGCAAACTGTAACTAGATATCCTGCCAGGTGGTTTATAACTACAGCACTGTATTTTTTTTCTTTTTGTCTGCTGGGTGTCTGACTCATGTGGAAACCCCTCACCCTACTTAAGAGGATGCAACCCCTTATCCAAAAGTATACCAGCTACGCATGATTTCCCTTTGTGTGGAATGGAATCCATACTCTCTCCCTGTAGGGACCCACCTGCTTACTGAATTATGAATTTTATTCGGTACAGGATGATAAGAGCCAAAGTTTGGGGACACCAGCGTATGAGCAGAGGGTACTTCTGGTATTCAACCAGCTAAAACCATGCAGTTCGTATAGCTATTGTTGCATAAAATTGCAGAATAGTTGCTAGGAATGTGAAATCAAAGTTTCTTCGCATGCATTTGTCATGTTTTATTCAGGCAAGTTTAACTTAGTGAATGGGTGTTTATTATTATGCATCTTTAACAAGATTTTATGTTAGATTTCAATATTTGCTCAGAAATCATTGGTCTGTCTCATTTAAGGAGAGATTGATTGCTCAAAATAGTGACCTTCAACAACAATACATTGCATTTATAGAGCGCCTTTCATGTCAGAAGGACGTCCATTCAGACAACATTGAATAAAGAAATTGATAATGAAATTGGAGTCAATTTTCTTTAGACATAAGAAAGTCCTTTGTTCAAAGCCTGTCTCAAAACATACCTCTTTGATAGCGCTTTCACCCTATCCCAACATGAAATAAGTGTAAATTGTATTGTACTGGGTCAGAATGCCTTGGAAACAGGAGAGAGCATGATAATGAATGAGGATTATCTGAATTGATGTAAAGTGACCCAGGGACTTTCCAGCATTCAGTCCTTGGATCCTTTTAGGCAAAAGCACCAGCCAATTTACAGAGAGCAATGCCCCACAAACAGCCATGGAGTGAATGACCAAGTTTATCTGGGGGGATTGATGGCCAGGACACCTGGGACTTAATAACAACAATATAATAATAAAATTTGAATTTCATATAGCACCTATCACTTCAGGAGGATATATGAAAGCTCTTCACAGGACTTACAATCAAGCGTGGTGACTGTATCTCGCAGGCAAACTTCTACTTTTTTAAAAAAATAAGGGAACCAAATGCAGTACTTTTACAAATTTGCTGATGAAGCAAAATGTGTGCATAGCAGGAGCTACAGGGCTGAGCAACTTAAATAATAATTTGCAAATGCCATTTATCATGAAGAAATGCAAGAGAATACGCTCAGATCAGCATAATAGTAACTGATGAAAAGATGAATGGTTGAAACTTGAGTGAAGATAAAGCACAGAGTGGGAGATCGATATGGTTCTTAAAAACAGCTTTACCACGCGAGTGAGCTGCGAGGTAATTTTGAGTTGTATTTGTGAGAAAAATGAACACAAGTGCTGTGATGCAGCACATAATTAAGGATAACATACAGAATATTGGGCAACGTATAGTAAGGTTGGGGAGCACGGGTGGGGGCGGACACGATTCATTACGAATAGAGTTCTTAAAGCCAGGCTAGAAGTAATTGAGGCAGCTTGCTTGAAAATGAATTTATTTTTTGTTTATAATGAGGGAAATAGATGAAGTGGAAATTTGTAATTTCTTCACACTGCTTCAGGATTGTGCGTCAGAAGGATATGCTTTGCAATGCTGGTTACAGAATGGCTTTGTGAAGTTCTTTCCACATAAACTTAAGATTAAGATCCAGCAGGGTGCTACGGAATAATGATAATTATTACCTACGTAATGGGACATCCTCCTGACGTGAAAGGCGCTTTATAAATGGAATCTTGTTGTTGTTGTTGTTGTTGCATTTGATATAGCCTTTATATCAGCTGTCTCTCCCTCAATCTTCCATCTTGCCCCCTCCTTCCCCTCTTTTAGATCATGACTGAAGACTTTCCTCTTCGACCGTGCTTTTGGTCACCTCCTCCTTCCACCCGGCTCAGTGTCAGGCTCCGCCACTGTTAAGCACTCCAAGATGCTGCCCCGCGTGAGGGCACTAAATAAACGCAAGTTGTTGTTGTTTATCCCATTGTCAAAACGTCTTCAAGCACTTCGCAGGATTTACTGTAAAGTTTAATGACCGGGTATCTTTCGGCAAAAGCAGCACTCAGTTTGCACACAGCAATACAATACAATACTACATCAAATGTAGGGATTATTATATCATATTAAGCATTCGGAAACAGGCTATTCGGTCCAACTAGTTTGAACTGATGTGTATACACCATGTAAGCCTCCATCCAGCCCTTTCCCCTTTCGCATACTCTTCTATTCCATTCTCCCTCATGTATGAAAAAGGAAAAGGATAGGACCTTTGCCCATGCCCTGGAATAGACTGGTACCTTAATCCAGTGCCTTAGATCCCTATCACCTATTCATTATAATATTAAACCAGTTTTGGATGTCAATTATTTGTGGATTTCTCTCTCAGCACATTGTAAAATGGTAATCTCCATTCTTATTTCCTCCCTTTTTGATTGTATTTTCAAAAAC